GTCAGTCACTAAGGCAGGGGGAGCACGTTTCCCCCTCCCTCAGGAATGTATCCAGCTCAGGTTACAACTCAGGGTTACCTGAAGCTGATGGGGCCAGCAGTGTCTGCCCTCTGCAAACCAAATTGTCAGAATGGTCATAAGCCTGATAGCAGAGTTTGGGGAGAGACATTCTGCCACAATGTGCATTTGACTTCCTGATGTAAAGTCTATGCACCATGTAAGCAATATATGCAAACACATGGTCACGTTCATGTTCATGAATGATAACAGGGAAGGCTGGTGGTATCAAGAGATGTTCTCTCAAGCAGTATCACCACCTCCTGTTTAAGAAATAGTAAGCCTTAATCCTGAGAAATCTTTTGTACAGTAAGTTTCATGGATCCCCCCTATACTAAATGGTCACTATAATAATCAGGTAAGAGTTTTTCTTATTATTTATATTTGATTTTTTTTAATCACTAAAGAGCCCTAATTCAATCCCCGGTGATAGCTTAAGTGGCCTTAAGCTTTCTTCTTTATATTTACAAGTCAGAAGGGGCATATTTATTGTGTTCCAGCTAATTGGATGAATATTAACATTTAAGATACCGCTAGGCAACACTGTACAAAATCTACCCAAGCTGGTAGCTCATTCTAAACCTTCTGGTCAGATACTGCTTCCAGATGTCATCCAGACCAATTCAGATCTGGCAGTTCATTTTAGCAGGGTACACTGAAAACTCATACAAAATTGAGTTCAGCTCTTTAAAAGAACTAAAATAAAAAAGAGTTCACTGCTCTTTTGGTTTTACTAGGCAAGAACTTGCTGATGGCATGCAAAAGGAAGAGAATATCTCTGCCTCTGCCACAGTAACAGCACAGAAAGTTCCTGTAATCTATTTTAGGGAGTCTTCCTCAGCTCTCTAATCTCCTTTTCTTATAGTTTAATTATTAGTAGAAAGATCTGTAAGCTATGATGAGTTACAAGGACGAGTGGCATGGTAACACTTCAGCACCAATCTGAAAAAAAAGCAAACACCAAGCTTTTAAGAGACAAAAACTTATCATTAGGCTTCTACATTTCTTAATAGGCACCTAAACAGGTGTTTGAAGTGCTGAACACTTATTTAAAGGATGGAATTTTCAAAAGTACCTAAGTGGCTTTGCAGCCTAAATCCCATTGGCTTTTTAATGGGACTAAATTATTTAGGGCTTTTGAAAAACCAACCTGAAATGCCTAATTATACCTCACCTATTTTTTGAAACACAACTTGAATTTTGCAAAAGTCTAAGATCACTGTAAATGAAGTATGACAACCTTAACCATTGAAAAATTATGACCCAAGATCTAAAATATCATTTAACTGGTTTAAACTGCATTTGCCTTGTGCATTCTGAGCACTGTGTGAAATAGTTTCTTTAAGTCAGAACCAACATTTTCCTGTAAATCACAGGAGCCCAGGAGCCGAGCCATTAAGAAAACCAAACAATACCATGGACTCACAGATTCACACAAGTTTAGGGCTTGAAGGGACCTCATGAGATCATGAGATCCAGCCCCCCTGCTCTGGGCAGGAAACACTGCTGGGGTCAAATAACCCCAGCAAGGTGTGCATCCAGTCTCCTTTTGAAGATCTCCAGGGTAGGTGCCTGCACCACCCCTGCTGGGACTCTATTCCAGAGCCTGGTCACATGAACTGTGAAGAAGTTTTCCTTATATCGAGTTGGAAACCTTCTTTTAGGAGTTTATGACCATTGCTCCTGGTTTTCCCACACAAACAAACATGGTATAGAAATATTGTAAAAATTAACATACAGGGGCAGAGAAGAGGAGGAAAGCTATTTGACAGCAGTATCTGAAAGCTACATTTTTGCCCAAGTATACCTAAGCCCTGGTTAGTCGCAATAAAAAGACTCTTTAATTATAGGATGGCCTGACTGGTCCACAAAGCCAGTTGCACACTTTTTTCAGAATGAGGACAGAACCATTCGCTCTTTGTGAAACTATTTGGATACTGATGGAATTTGAGACTCATCTTCTTGTTCTTAGAGAATGAGACTTTTCAGGAAGCCTTCTACGAGATGCTTGGAGAGGACAAAGGAATGGTTTAATTTTACACTGGGTATTCCAGAATGTCAGAGGAGTATCCCTGCAGCAGGCTGAAAGGGAGATGGTTGATCCTCATGAAAATAATGACAAACATCCAGTCTTATGTGTCTTGTATGGGAAGTTCCTGCTATTTTGTCCCAAATACCAGTGTGACAAAAGGAGAAATTCTAGATTGATTGGAGCGGGAAGCACTGCTCAAAGTCATGGGCAGTTGGAGAGGGCCCAATTGATCCAAGGTACAGTCAGGGATGCACTGTGCCTCCTGCTTGAGGCCATGAGGAAAGGGTTGTTAAAGAAACACTATACAACTAGGGATGGACCACTGTAATTCAGGCTTCAGAGGATTTTAGGGAAAAGCCGGAAATTTAGCATTTCGCCTGAAGCCCCGAAAAACTGCAATTTGGCTGGAAATGGCTTGAAACTGTGGGAGGGGAGGGAGGGAGGGGAAAAACATTAAAAACAAAATTTACCTGAATCCGGGAAAAGAAAAGCAGCACAGCCCTGGAAACACCACGGAAGTCCCATTTTCAGAGAAGCCTACTATAGGCAGGGCTGAGCCAATCGGGTTGTTCAATTCCCCGCTTTAGCAGGGAGTTTAAAAGCCGGAGTGGAGCATGTAAGCTGGAACAGCTAGGGGTTGTGGCATGCCAGGTGCTTGCTCCCACAGCTGGGCGTGAGGTGCAGGGTGCCCCCGCCAAAGGGTCTTGCTGCCACGCAGCATGGCTGTCCTGAGCCCCACTTTGCTTTGCTGTTGTGCAGGAGTGGAGGAGAATATCCCCCTCCCTTCTCTGCATGGTAGGGCAAAGCAGGGATCGTGAGACCCATGCCAGGCTGAAGGAAAGCCCCTGACATGGTCCAGATGTGGGGGCAAGCACACAGCATGGGTCTCCCAAGCCCTGCTCTGCCCTACTGCACAGAGAAGGGGAGGGGAAAATCCCTCTCCTCTCCTGTGTGGCAGCAGGGCAAAGCAAGGCTTAGGAGATCCTGTGCTGGGCTGGGGGAAACCCCTGCCCAATACCCAGCTGTGGAAGCTGGCACCTGGCAGGGGGGAACTCTCCCTCTTCTTCCCTCCAGCCTCACTCCAATCACCCCACATCCAGCCAACTAAGCAAAGCCTTGGCTGGGATGATATAGTAGTGGCTGGCCAAGCTTTGAGCAAGGTGTTGGACTAAATGACCCCGAGGCCCCTCCCAACCCTAATAAGCTTTACTTAAAAGTTGTTGTTTAATAAGTGGTGATCTTTCCTTCCTTAAAACAGCAGCAGAACAGCCTGTATGCTGCTGTTCAATGGTAATCAGCCCCAAGATGGGGTCCCTCAGTCAGTCAGAGGTGTGGGAGAACCCAACCTGAATAACGCCTCAAATTAGCTCTGGTGAGCCTGTAGGGAGCCTGCTTTTTCACCCACCACTGCCTAAATTACAGTGGTCCCTATTTTGACATTACCTTTCCAAACTGATCATTCAAAAATTGCGGACCTCTAGAGGAAACAGAGTACAGTAGAGTACATCTGCCACAATGCACATAAGAGCCTGGTATAGACAATGGGTGCTCCTGCCTGCTCACCAGCATTAAAAACAGAGATAATCCAAATGGGAGTGACCTCAGAGCAGTGTATGACATTTTATTGCTTCATACCTGGATAGATCAGTGCAGTAGGGGCAGTCAGTTGCTCAGCAACTAGGAAATGGTTTACACAATGTTTAGTCTTAATTAACTCATTGCAAAGGGATATTCCCGCTCTAAGACGGATGCTTACCATAGTGCATCCTGAGGCACAGTCACTGAAAGGGAGTTTTGGGGTAGATACAAGGCACATTAACATGAACAACTGCAAGTGGTGTTGTGTAACAAACTTGGCCTGAGAGCAACAGGATTTAGAAAGTAGAAGAAAAATGGCAAAAAAAAAAAATAGAACAGATTTCAGGTAAAAAAAACTAATTTCAATGGCAGTGCACGCAAAACAGCTTATTATTCACGACGAGCAAAGGTGACAGAATTAGGCTATAGTAATAATCTGTAAGGCTGAAAGCTCAAGTAATGGGGATAGATGTACATTTTCATAGGGCAATAAGTGACTGGACTGTATTAACCTTTACTTCCTTCCCATTATCCAAATAAATTACTGCATAAAAACCAATGCTTCCTGTTTATAGACAATACAAATGGACAGTTACTAAACATGCGATATAAACAGCCTTGTTCACCAACAGGGAACTGAGATGACTAGTTCATAAAATGTTGTGTTCCTCTTAACATTTATATTCTTAACCATTTATTGATTCAGAATTATCATCCAGTCTTCACAGACATTGTGTCCACTCAGGTAGCCGACTACTACCTAACCCATCCAGCCTGATCCAGGGTGTGGGGACATGTTATCTGGCTCCCAGATCTCCCCAGAGGCATAGCAGGGCAGCTTTGCAACCAGGGCAACCAAGATGCCCAGGGCAGCACCAGCTACCATTGTGCAATTGGCAGGGGTACAGTCAGTAGTGGTGACCACACTAGTGGCTATTTTTACACCCCCCACAGTGGAGGCAGTTCCTGAGGCTCTTACTGGGGCTCCCCAAATGTCTGGAAATTTGATGGTGGGAAAGCGGTGGCAGCATTCATTACTGCAGCTCCCAGAACCATAACAATTAACTCTGCAACCATTCCACCACAACTAAATTTCCAGATTCATGAGGAGTCCCATAAACTAGATGGCACTGCACTGCAAGCCACATCTGGCCTGCAAGCTGTAGGTTGTGTACCACTGAGCTAGCTCATTTGCTACTAATATTTATAAACAACATGTTTCTATTGTGCTACCTCTTTTTCAAGCTCTAAGATCTAACTGTTATTACAAATCATTATATTTGTGTTAAACATGATCTGTTTTATATTATTTCATAAGCTTTCTCAATCCTACCTAACATTGTCATGCCTTTGAATGTAAATCTTGTGGAAAATCCTTTCAGGTGGTTTCAGGAAATCTTCCTTCATTTCCATGGCAACGTTCCTGGGCAAAAGACTCATCAGGAGACGCTCCTAAAAGAAAATGCAAATGTAAGTTTTGGGTTATATTCCCTCTTCACCCCTCAATCTAATTTATGTCCCTAGAATTTGTGCCCCATGAAGAACGTGAACCATCCTCTTCATATATTTCTATAGTCTAAACTGGTTTCTCTTCAAATGCCTTTCCACAACAGTAAAGACTCTGCAGTAAGTACAGAGCTAGCTTCAAGAGAAGATAATTGTCCATAATTATCATTAACATCACAATGCTAATAACAACTTACTTTATCCCCAGTGCCATTTATCTGTGAAGGAATTTCCAGGATCATTTCCTATCTTTTTGTATTTACTTCCTCTAGAATTTAATCAAAATGTTATAATGCTGGGTTACTACAGCAGCTTATTAAACAGTAAGATCTGTGATCCAGAGAGTCTGTATTACCTGAACTGTAATAAAAGGTGCATTATGTTCATACCATAAGCTAATCTGAATGGTTATTTCTAGCAAGCACAACAGAATGAGCACCTGGTTAAATACTATAGCCAAGTCAAGTCAAAAGTTCGTCTTTGCTTACAACAAAATTGATTAGCATGGTTAAGGTAGGTCTATTTCTATAGCCAACTGCATGCAAGGGAGTGGCATGACTACTTGGACCCCACCCCTGCCTGAATGACCAGATACCCATTGACAGCTAGGTTAACTGGGGGGGTGGGCTTTGGCACGAGTCTAGAGCAGGGGGTGAATTCATGCCTCCAGAACCATAGCAAGATGTCTCAAAAACAAGCATCTCTCATCACTTCCAGTGCTTCTAGTAGTCTGTTTCAGGGCTGTCATTAAAACGTCTTCAAAATGAGGAATGGTAGCAGCTGCAAAACTGAGTAGTCCCTGCCATTTTCAAGGCTTCCAACAACATCACTTTGACAGCTGCTTCCCCTTCACTATTACTGGTGCCAATTATTACACAGTTGAATGGAGTACCATTAAATGACAACATAAACAGCTCAGATGAATGATATTGTGTGCTTAAGTTGTTCGTGAGCTTAACTGATGTGGAGATACTCAATATGTTATTAAGTAAAATACACAAAAAATTGGAACCAGCACCATGTTATGCAGTTAAGCAAGTTATGAACTTATTTAACAGATGAATACATTTGTCCCCTGACAGAAAAGTTCTAAAAAATGTTAAGAAATAAACTACCTGCATATGGCAGCAGCCAGCAACTTTTAACAAGCCATGGACTGGAACAACATGGCTCTGCTTTGACCCACACCAGATAGTTTTGATGGCACATTAGCAGTGGGGGGCTTTCCAGGGTCAGGCAGCTAGGAGCTACAGCTGTGCCACTGCTGCTTTCCCGTCAGCCCTCTGCTTCTCAGCTGCAGTATGGGGGCAGCTTACAACCAGTATGGAGCTATGCTGGGGCCGGACAGCTAAAACCCGAGTCCTTGCTGCTATCACTTCTGTCCTCCCTACACCCAGCTTTCAACTATAGTGCAGTTCCTCGCCATCTAAAGCTGTGCCTGTGTCCAAACCAGGGAGCCAAAGAATGGGGGAAGCAGCAGCAGTGGCACAGGACTATCTTCCAGCTTCATGGCCCAGGCACAGATTTAGGCACATGTAAGGCCCTACAGCTATGCAGGTTGGATGCAGCAGCTCATTCTCTGTGCATGGTCAACCACTAGCACACAGCTACCTGTACTCCCTGTGCTACTTAAGGAATACATGGATATCACTGTTAGGCTCGGGTCAGACATTACACATAAATCAGTTTAAGTGATCAGAAACTGGTTTAAACCTGTAACAGAACAGACATTCCGTGCACATAAACCAGTGTGAAAATGGCTGAAACTGGTTTGAGATAAACCTGGTTGAATGTACTATCAGACGTAACTGATTTGGGTCAAACTGGTTTATGCAATGTCTGTCCCAGACCCCTTCCTGGTTTAACTTAAACCAGAGTCCCCCAGCATCCCAGATACTTTGAAGCCCTGGGTTGGGCTGTCTGCTCCAGAGAGCTGAGCTGGCCCCTCCCTTCTGCTCCCTGGCTGGAGCTCCAGCAGAGATGGCAAGGTCAGCAGCATCTGCCTGGCTTGCCCCTGTCCTCCCCACCCCCCCACTCCCTGCTCAAGCAGCGATTCCCCCCTCCCCTCTCCCATATCATGAACCGTGGCCAGGTTTGTGGTATGCTAGCTAATGCTGAGAGGTGTCTCTGTAAGGCAGACAGGATGAAGGCAGACAGGACAGTGTCTGCTTAGGGCTTTCTGGACCTAATCAACAGGTCAGGTAGTAATGTCCCTCCATTTCTTCCTTGGAAAAAGCTTTTTATGAAGAGCTTGACCTAATGAGAGAGGCTTTTGTTTTCTTGATGGGCTCTTCCCTGCTGTGTAACTAAATGCAAATACTGTGCAACTAATTCCCTGCTGGCTCCCTCCCTGGTCAGGAGCATCAAGGGGGGAGGCGAGGAAACCCCTCCCTAATCAGAACATCCTTCTGGAGCCTGGCCATGCACCCCCTCAGCTCAGCACTATAGAAGGGAAGGGAAGGGAAGGGAAGGCTGCTGTATTCCCCGCCCCCACCCCCACCCCCGGCTTCTAGCCTAAGCCACTGCACACAGGTGCCTGCATCTCTTCAGTCCAGAGGGGATATCTGTATGGCTGCAAACCAGTTCAGCCTAGCCCGATTAGACTAACCTGCAAATATTGAATTAATTCAGGCTCAGGCTTTTTGAATGTTTGTCCCTAGCCTTACTGTTCACACCCTAAAGATAAACAGGGGTATGTAGCACAACAGCACTGGAGGGTAGAGGGAAAGCAGGCAGAACCATATAACAGCTTTGAAACTTAAGAAGTGCTACTTTACTGGGTCTAGTAAAAAAGGATATTAAATGATGAGTTCTACATGTATGCACATGAATGGTTCATATTTGAGATGGATCTCAAACTGTAACTAATCCACTTACAGCTTTTCTACATATACATCCATACACATGTATGTACACACAAGCTTTTGATATTTTACATATTTATGTAATACTATATGGACAGCGTGTGTTTGCGTGTGTGGCTTCTAATATTTAGGTTTATTTTAATAATTGAGTCACTAGCAAACCAAACTACTGGGTACCGAGTAAAAATTGCAAAAACTTTTCACAAACAAAAAAACTTCTTCCCTAGCACTAACTGAAAAAATAAAACCCTATTATATTCTTAATATTTAAGATAGACACTGGTGAGATTTCAGACCAAGAAGAAAGGTAGCAGAATGTTTGTAGAGCAGAATTATGGGAAGGAGAGGGGGAGCAGGAAGAGGGGTGCACACCCAGAAATGGGAAGGGGGAAACCGCTAAACAGGATCCTAGAATAAGAAGCAGAAACCAAAGAAGGAACGCATGAAGGTGCCTTAAAAGTGTGAGAAAAGTGCATTTTTGGGGGGGCAAAATGTTAGCTCTTTCAAGAAATTAAATCTTTCAAGTCACTGAAGTAAAGCATGTTTAAGGACACCAGGATTTGGAACCATATGAACAAACAGCTTATGCTGCATCGAAATGGGCAAGTTTTGGAAACCATACAATCTACATCTGTAAAAATGAGCCACAGCATTGTGCTGTATCTTCATTCCTTCACACTGCTCCCACCCCCAGCTGCTGCCCATGGGAAAACTAAAGAGAGAAAAAGGAATGAAATCAGCATGGCTACATAGAGCTTTGAACAAAGACAGCATTTTAAGTAGCATTCATGGTGACATTCATGCTCGAGTGGTTGCTGCCACTGATGATAGATGATGATGACAAACAAATTGAACGAGTGTGATAAACAGGGAGCACTAATAAAATTAGTAACAACTTTGATCAGGAAAAATGCCACACGTGTTGCAAGCCTCCATTTTAGTGATATATGAACTTGTTTGATAACCTTACCTAGCACGCTATTTGGAATCTAAACAAGGGGAACTCACCAGCAGCGAGAATCAGGTGGTCTGCTTTATATTTACCTTTTATTTCTGATGTCACAGACAGTTCAATATACAAACAGCAGGACATTCTACAAAAGACAAAACGCTGAACTTGCCAATTTTAACTGTTCTAGAGTTTTACCCAAAGTATTTTTTACCTCACTGTAAACCTATGCCTGTGTGACGTTTCAGTGAAGATTCATGGACTTTCAAGAGCAGTGGCATGCTGAAAAAAATGGTCCCAGCATACCTGTAAGAGGATCCTGCCTCTCTGAAGGCAGCCATGGCTCCCTTGAGTATCTGTGCTAATCCCATCTCCAACTCTGGCTTCCCAGTGTTGTATTTTCCTGCCATGCCTAACCATTATTAAAATCTTGGGAGGCTGCACTGGGGTGATCTGCTCTATCCTGCTCATCATGAGGCTATTTTGGTTTAGCCCAATCACTGCCTTGAGCAAAGCATCACACTTTCACTACCCCCAGCAACTTAGTCTTTCTTTACCTCTTATGGCACTGGGCCCCTCGCTCTGATTTCACAAGGCTGAGCCCAGTACCACCTTTATTGCTCTGGACCCTAGCACTGCAGCTGCAAACTGTGGAGCCTCTAATGAGTACCCAACTGTTGACTTCCTTCTCTCTTTCAGCTACTCACAAGCCTCATGATTATAATGCAAAAGAGAAACATTTATGAAACAAACTTTCTTTGTAATGCTCCCCACAGAGCTCCTTCTCTTCTGGGAACCTGGGCTAGACTGAAGCACTAGCCCTGGAGTCAGTTTCATGCAGCTACTTTCTCCATCTTTTTCCAGTCATATGACCTGACACTCCTTTAATCAACTTAACCCACAGCCTAGCATTCTGTTGCCTGCACCTGCAGCCCTTTACAGCTAGCCTCCCTGAACTTGCTCTGCTGGCTCTTTCTCAAGCAAGCAACAGGGGTTCTGCTACCTGCCATTCCTTTGCATCATTCAAATAACAAGGGTTAGGGGCCCCCTGTTACAATACCATTAGTGGGCACTACATGTATGGGCTAGAAGCGATCTTGCATTGCTTGCACGGAATCTCAAAATGGACCCAA